AGTATTTATTCTTTATTAAGCTAAATAATTTTGGGTCATGAATCTATTTTGCTGCCTCTGTTATGCCTCCTGTCTTCTAGATAATTAGTGAATGTAACTGAACAACATCTTTCTTAAAGATTGGTAAGGCAGCCCATTGTTGGCCTCCTTTCATGCTGAGAATTGACTATTTATTTCTACTGTTTCCTATCCATGTTTTAAATAATCCATGGACAAGACTACTTCTGAGTGTGAGAGGTAAAGTTTCCAGGTTTCCTGTAGCTTCTTGTAAGGGATGTTACCTAATGCGTTTTGAAATTATATCCACAGTTCTCTGAGTTTATTCCTTGTGTCACACTGTTTCTAAGCCATTTGTCGAAGAAGATTGCAAGGATCTTCACACAATTTTAAGAATTCCCTGAGTAATAACTGGGTGTCATTGCTTCTATTTTTAGGCTCTTTACTCTTGTCTGTGAATCTCTATTAGGAGAGAAAGACCTGGATATATTAGATTCTCTGATCATTTGCTCAGATGCTTTTATTTCCTGGCAGATGCAAAGATAGTTCTGTCCATGCAGCTGAGAATCTATGTTTGTGCCATTGACCTGACAAACAGTAAAGCAGGGCTTTGAAATGTATTCCCTTTTTTGAGAGAGAAGGAACTGCCTTTTTAAAGAATTGCCAGGGTTTATTAACTACCTTTCTTCTTTTGAGGGAAGCACAGTTGTCAGCTAGAAAGGTGCATGTTTTTGACAGGGATGAGACTTCTGGGCAAGTCTAAAACATTCTGAAAATGCCATATGACCCACGTTTAAACTTCTGGAGGTGGAAGGGAATCCTTTGCCATTTTTGCAAAGCCTTGATTGGCAGTTGTCTCCATCCTATCATATTTGATGGCATCCTTTTTGAGCTCTTTGTTTGTCCTGTTACCAGGTACTGTAGCCACCTATGAGATAATGTATATGACTTCTGGGCCAGCTACACTGGGTTGATTCTTTAAAACTCTGGAATCCTGTATTTAGCTAGTTGAGGGCCTAGGAATAAGGATTATTGCTTGTTAAAGAGATAATCCTGATTGAGTCACAAGACAAGAATCACTTGGTGGACAAGGAATTTGTTCCTTATGAGAGAAACTTGGATTTATAGTGACTTGTTACATGTCATTCTTATTTTTGCACTGTGCATAGTTTTGGGGGTTCCTCATTAGAAAAAGAGATCTTGATAAAATGGAGACAATCTAGAGGAGGATGTAAGAAATGATAAAGGTAGGGTGACCATATTTCCCAAAGGGAAAATGGAATACCATGTGGGGCTAGCCCAAGCCTCCCCTCCCGCTGCTCAGGGTTATCCTGAGCACTTGTCCAAGCCTCACCTCCCCCATGCAGGGCTGGCCTCAGCTGCTTGTCCAAGCCCCACGCAGGGCTGGCCTGAGCCACTTGCCAACTTGGCAAGAGCAAACTGGACAAATACCCACTTTTGCCAAAAAAAAAGTCAGGATGGCCAAGACCGGGTTTAAAAAAGGGACTGTCCCAGCCAAAACGGAACATATGGTTACCCTAGATAAAGGGATTAGAAGATACAAACTATGAAGAGAAATTAAGGGAATTTAATATGTATACATTTTAGAGAAAAGACCCGGGGGGATATGATCATGCTATAAATACTTGAAAGATAACATGGAGAAGAAAATATTTAAGATTGCACAATACAGAGCATAGACATAGGAGAGAAAAGGGAAAGGTAGACTTTAGGAAACATATTCTAACCATGTGTTCATTTGCGTGATGGAATAATTTACTGAGGGAGTTTGAGGCACTGTCCTTAGAGTTGTCCAAAAGTAAATTACGCAAAACAATTAGGAGGTATAATAAACAGTCCACTAATGCAAGAGGGATGAACTTAATGAACCTTTTCAGGCATTTTCTTCTATAGTTGTTTCCTTTTCCAAAGAATTACTTGCTGGGGTTCCTGATCAGTGTGGTGTAGTCAATTATGAAAATGTTCTTGTTTTTAAATTATAATTTTTGATTTTCAATAGGTATAGAATATACTCAGTGAATGTAATACAGAAACACTAAAACCTTTGATTGCTGAAAGATAAGCAAACATGAAAGTAAAAACATTAAGCAGGCAATCATGTCTAATAGAGTATTAGCAAAAACAATAGTTTAAGCACCTTCCTGAAGTTTTTACAGACCCTGTATTTTAAAGATTTTCAAGGGCTTAGATCTTAGAGCGCTGATGTTTAGATGTAGAATTCCCTAAAGATTTAACACGTGGTTTAAACCTCAAATCGGCTTGCTTGATGTCACTTGGATCCTGATCTAAAGGTGTTGGCATCGGTTGTTTTTTATGGTCATTCCCCAATTGCAGGCTGACTTCGCTACAATCTAAACTGTAAATCTGGAAGCTGACTGTGACTAAATATTTCTAATAATTCAAATTTTCCTGATTCAAGCAAGTCATCCATTTTTATTGACTTTTACTTAAATTAGCATAGAGCCCAAAATGTCCTTGGCACTGTACAAACATATGGGAAGGCACAGTCCCTGCCCAAAAGAACTTGATGTCAGCATTTTAGGAGTTAAATATTCTAAGGGAAATCTCAAGTATAATGGAAGAATTATACTTGTGTCTATAGTGCCATAAGCATGCATGACCTACACAGATGACTTAATTTTTTTTAAAAAAGTCACTGCCTAGAGTCGTTTATAATCCAAGGGACAATTCTTGTGTGGTGCTGAGCCCCCTCAACTCCCATTTATGTTGCACTTCCATACAATGTTTTTCCTCCCAGATAGAGCTGCGTATTCAGGGCCCAATTCTGCCCATCCTTTCTCAAGCTGAGCAGTATCTTTCTTGGTACATTTTTCCACTGAAATCAATAGAATTATTTGTGACGTAAGGTCCTGGTACTGCGAACATTTAAGCACATGCAGAACTTTACTCATGTGAGTTGTCCTATTGAAGCTAATGGGACGGTTTACATGCGTGGAGGTATGCATGTGCTTATGCATTTACAGGACTTTGTCTAAGTTACCACTCTATGAGTAAGGGTGCTGTAATAAGTGATAATTGGCTGTGGATCACAGACACTTCCGTTTTTTAAAAAAAATCTTTATTTCAATCAAGTCTTTCCCCTTTGCAAGCTTCCTTCTTTGCAATGGACTATTAAGAAATCACAGCTGTCTGGTAGACTATGGGCAAACAAAGTTAGTTAATAATCTCTGTTAAATTCCACTGTCTGGTGTTAGCTTTTTGATAACTGGTAAAGCAGATACTGATGCTTTGCTATAAAGTTTTTCCACTCATGATTTTAAGGCATAGGGCCACATTCTTCTCTCACATACAGATTGATTTTGAAGTGCAAATTGGAGTCAAAGGGAGTGCTGCATACACAACAAAGAGCAGACTACATCTCATAGTGTGATACCCGCTATGTTCCCTGAAATTAAATTGCATTCTTAATTGACGTTTGAATAAAGTTTTGTCTGTATAGCCTTTACAAAACTAAAATGAAAAGTATTTCTTTTTCTTTAAATGTCAGAATTTTGGATGTTGGTTTGGTTCTGAGCCAGCGAAGATATTGAGATTTCCAGGTCTTGGTCTTCAGAAATTAAGGACCTGCTCCTACAAGGTACCGAGCACCTCTTGAGAGGCGCTGATCACTCTCCTCTCCCCTTGAGTTCAACTTTCATTGACTTCAGTGGGAGGAGATGGCGCTCAGCATCTTGCAGGATTGGACATTGTAGCAGACATGATTTCAAATATGGTCTTTTTTACTTGCAGGTAAAGAGTTTTAATGGTACAATGAGTTTTTTCACGTGGTCACTATTATTTCTCTAAGTTTTTTTTTTTTTTTTTTATTGTGTGCTCTGGATTTTTTTTATCTGCTGTTACTGAAAACGATAAAGATCATGCACATCTACTCTTTGTCGTCACACATTTCTATCACTGTTACCCTTGTCTTCACTTGCTTCATTTGTTACACCCACTTGTGTCTTAATTTAGGCACCAATCCTGCAATCTAATGGACTCCTTTGATTTCAGTGGGACTTCCATTCAACTTAATGGGCCTTTACCGGTACAGTGGTCTGCCTGTCTGGATCAGACTGCAGGACTAGTGCCTTTGGTTGAAAACTCTTTGGGGGCACTATATGTTAGTACAGCACCCCAATACAATGGGACTCTGGGTCCTACCTGGGCACTACTGAAGAGAAACCAGATACTACATAGTGGTAATTCTGAGTGACGTGCAGAGCAGCCTGGCTGCATTCACTTTAGGATATGGTTCTAAACCCACTCTCTTTGCAGATTCAGTGTTTGAAAGATGCTGTGCAACAGGAAGTTGTGTTGCACTGAGTATCTTTTCCAAGGCAGGACTTGCTTTCCACGGGCTCAGGGAAAGTCACCGTTTTTTTTACAAAGGGAGCAAATCGCGCTGTTAGATGTATATGTTTAAGGCATGTTATCGCCCACCCCCGGCAGGGGCGCTGGGCATTGGCTGGCTCCCAGGTGGCGGCGGGGTTAGTCGCTGATGGAGCTGCACGGGGAGTTTGTCCATTAGGTAAAGGCAACCACAGCAGCGCGATTGCCTCCGTTCCTGCTTCATATCGTGTATTGGCCGAAGTCGGCCTGAGCGCCGGGGACAGGGGGCGCAGCAGTGCCCCGGGCCCATCCCTGCAGGGCGGGGAGGAGAAGCCCCGAGGCGGCTACGCCTGCCTTGCTCCGGGCTGAGCCCCACACTCCGGCTTAGGGGCAGCAGCACCCGGCGCTGCACAGCGATGGGGGGAGGACGCAGGGGCCAGGCCCTGCACTTTCCTCGGCCCCTCCCCGGCCCGCACGTGATTTCCTGGCTCCGTGTTTGCTTCCCGGGTCAAAGCCCCTCCACGGCCCCAGAGCAGCCGCCGCCGCCTGCGGAGGGAGCAGGGGGGTGAGTGGGGCAGGATCAGCTCGGGGCGGGCAGCAGGGTCCCCTCGCTCCCAGCGCAGCCCCCTCACCCAGCGCCTCTTCTCTTGCAGGTTTATCCGGAGCCCCGGACCGAGAGCGAGTGTCTGAGCAACATCCGCGAGTTCCTGCGCGGCTGCGGCGCCTCCCTCCGCCTGGAGGTGAGTCTGGGCTGAGCAGGGCAGTGGGGTTGGGGGCCGGGCTGGGCTATGGGGAATGGGGCTGGGCACAGTCTTTTGTGGTTTCCCCGGTGCCCCTTGAATTCTCCAGGCAAGTTGCAGAGCGTGTTCCCTTCCCCTTCTTGGGGAGTTTCTCCCATACTCTTCCTCCACTCCCCATCTTGGGGTTAAATTTCCTGCCTCCAGAGGGGCGGGAACAATTTGTATAGTGGGGGTGCTGAGAGCCATTGACCCAAACTGTAAACTCTGTATATGATGGAAACCACTTCAAGCCAGGGGGTGCAGTAGCAGCCCCTGCACCCCTAGTTCTAGCACCTATGTCTGAAGTGATTTATGTTGGCATTTTCTGGTCCTGGGGGATTTCCTAGAGCTACTGCTGGGGTCCTTGGAGTTGCCTGTGGCCCCAGAGGTGGGGGAGCCATTGAACAGTGATCTGACAAGGGTTGCTGTTTCTGTATCAGGAAGTGGATGCTGCTGGTAGCCGCTGAAGGTAAAACTGATCTGTAAAAGGTGACAAATGTAATGGTGCTGCTGTCTTCTCTTGAGTCCATGCTGTTAGTCTTAAAGGTGCCACAGGACCCTCTGTTGCTTCATGCTGAACAAATGACCCAGCGTGGTGCTGGAGTGCACTTTGAAGGGGTTTTTGGGTGAGACGTTATATCAAGTTTCTGATTTCATGTGGTCATTCAAGATCCCAGTGGCCAGCTTCTGATCTGAAAAGTTTTGTTTTTCCTACTTAAATTTACTCTCCAAACTGAGTTGGTTAAATTCCTGATCTGCTCCTGTTCTCGGGTATTTATTGTAGCTGGGTGCTCTGTTGTGGTATTCATTCCACCACAGAGGTTGCTGCACTTCAGTGGCGGATAGGGTAAACTTTGTGTATAGTTAGGGTCCACCAAATTTGCGGCCATGAAAAACACATCATGGACCATGAAATCTGGTCTCCCTCCATGAAATCTGGTCTTTTGTGTGCTTTTACCCTATACTATACAGATTTCATGGGGGTGACCAGAGTTTCTCAAATGGGGGGTCCTGACACAAAAGGGAGTTGCAGGAAGGTTGCAAGGTTATTTTGGGGGGGGGAGGGTGTGGTATTGCCACTCTTACTTTTGCGCTGCCTTCATAGATGGGCCGCCGGAGAGCGGCGGCTGTTGGCCAGGTGCCTAGCTCTGAAGGCAGCACCCTGCCAGCAGAAGTAAGGGTGGCAATACCATACCATGGTACCTTTACTCCTGCGCTGCTGCCTGCAGAGTTGGGTGGCCGAAGAGTGGTGGCTGCTGACTGAGGGCCCAGGCAGCAGTGCAAAACTAAGGGTGGCAATACCATACCATGCCATCCTTACTTCTGCGCTGCTGCCTGCAGAGCTGGGCCCCCGGCCAGCAGTCACTGCTCTCCAGCTGCCCAGCTCTGAAAGTAGCGCAGTTGCTAGCAGCAGCACAGAAGTAAGGGTAGCAGTACCACAACTCCCCCTACAATAACCTTGCGACACCCCCCCCACCCCAGCCCCCACAACTCCTTTTTGGGTCAGGACCCCTACAATTACAATGCTGTGAAATTTCAGATTTAAATAGCTGAAATTATGAAATTTACGATTTTTAAAATGCTATGACCGTGAAATTGACCAAAATGGACTGTGAATTTGGTAGGGCCCTATAGTTCATGATTCATTTTAAATGTGTATAATGCATAGGGTCCTATGCGATTAAAAACACTGTATAAATACACAATTTCTAAATGTAAGAGTTTATTATAAGTGAGTGCTCATAGCCAGTTTATAGAAGCAGTTAAAATGACATTGTATCTGACTGTAAACAGTATTTAGAGGCTCAGAGTAGGCCCTGTGGTGCCTTTCCTAAGGCAGGAGAATTTCATTTGGTGACGTTTCATGTTGTTAAAACTGTGATCTTGGATAGACAAAGGGAACGCTAACTTCTTGTCTTGTTTCCTTCCCAGAAGTATTGAGGAGTGTGGGAGCGTCCTATTTCATTACCTATAAAAGAGAGTGGGAGGGATGTTTGCAGAAAGTTGCCAAAATTCCGTTCAGTGACTTGATGTGACTTGTTTATGGCTTCATTGACATGTAGATATAAAGTATATTTTGGCATGTGAAAAGATCCTGCATATAGTGTTTCAATGATAAAATTCAAGTTGTATTAATTTTGTTTACTAAAAATGCTTTTAGATGATGACTTGTCATATAGGACTTAATTCAGTAAAAGTCCAATGAGAGGGTTTTTTTTTTTTTTTTTTTTTTT